CCCACGTGCCAGAATTAGCTGCTCGGAGAAGCGGCTAAGATTAAAGAAACCTCTGTAACAGAATGTAGACCTGGTCTTGGGGAAAGTAGGAGAGAGCTGTTAAGGAGGGACTTGAACAAGAGATTACACAGTCCAGAGCAGTGTTTCTCAACTGTAGCAACTTTAAGATGTGTGGACTTCAACTCCCAGAATTCCCCAGCCAGCCATGGAGTTGAAGTCTACACATCTTAAAGTTGCTACAGTTGAGAAACACTGCTCTGGACTGTGTAATCTCTTGTTCAAGTCCCTCCTTAACAGCTCTCTCCTACTTTCCCCAAGACCAGGTCTACATTCTGTTACAGAGGTACAACCCCAGAACCTAAGCCTTTTAAATTTATATATTTATTTATTTATTATTAAATTTATATGCTGCCCATCTCCCCCAGAGGGTGACTCTGGGTGGCTTACAATTAAAAACAAAGACAATAAAAACAATAGAACTATAAATACCCCCCCCCCGATTAAAACACAACGTTCACTCTTCTTTCTCAGTGGGCTATAACTCACATTCCCAACTGTCAAGAAAACACATTTATTATGTCTGCCCCACTTTGTCCAGACAGGGAACCCTTTTCATAGCAATCCAAAGCTAACTTCCTGCAAAAGGTAACAACCCAAACTCTGCACCACTAAACCCATGGTTTAGTGGATACCAACTCTGGGCATCTTTGATCGCAGCGCAGAAGACAAGCACTGTTTGGGTTGACAACACAATGAATATGAGCGAAGCATATGCAAAGCACAACAACAAAAACTGAACTACAGTTCAAGCAAGCAAGGTAAACATGCACGAATGCAGCCATGAGGTTTTTCCTGGATGCTATTTCACAGCCCAATCCAGCAGAGGCTGGAACACGGATAATACCCACCCGTGCAGCTGCTTTCCCACAACACAGTTCACTTGATTACCAGCCACACGTGTGTCTGTGGGCATGCAACCCCCCCAACTCTAAATACGTGTTTCTCCACCTGGGCAACTTTTAAGATGTGGGGACTTCAACCCCCAGAACCCCCTAGCCAGCCCCGGGGAATGGATTGACTCCCCCAGAGCTGGCTGGG